CTCTCTCTCTCTCTCTCTCTCTCTCTCTCTCTCTCTCTCTCTCTCTCTCTCTCTCTCTCCACTCCCTACCCCCAACTGCACAACTCGCTGCTTTCTCCACATCCCCAGCATCTACTGTCTCTCTCTGCTTCCCGCTTTCTGAAACAACTGCACGCACCAACAACAGACAAATCACAGTAAAGCGTTTTCCAGTCCTGATTGTGACATTAGAACAACATGAAGGTACATGGTTTTTACACACATCAAAGAACGATCACTAAAATAATTGAAAGCCTAGCMTTATTTGAAGGAATGTAGCTGCTTCGGAAGATTAAAGCAAAGATCTTGTGCTCGGTGTAYGCACTGTGAATGACTCTCRGCTACTGYTACCAATTYTAGCTCAATAYATGTAGARTTGACTCAGCTGTACCTCTGTTTGTGTCTCCTAAAGTCATTTGGCTGTGGTGGCCATCTTGAATTAGTGTGGCTCTAAAACTGATTCMATTGTAGAGGTTCACTTAAAGATTATTTTCTGAAAGTTTTATTGAAATCAGTTCAGAAGTTCAGGAAATATTTTTGCTAACAGACGAAGTTGGTTCTAAAACGTTATTGGCAAATTTTTAAACAAAGATTACGCGCAATCTTTCAGCACTTAGAATACACACCGGGGCTCAATCTCAGCGTCGACCACATCAAATTTAGGGTTAGTGTCTGTAAACGGGTTGAGTTRTAGTCTTTTTAGTGCTTTTGCAGGTCATTTGGCTTTGACGTCTTAAATCAAGTTGACTCTACAAGTTAATTAGCTGATGTACATCCAAAGAGTACTTTGAGTTTCATTAAAACTCGTCCAGTGATTCACGAGAACAGACCGACCCACGAACACAACACACGATAGGCAGAAACACTTTGCCCACCTTTTAACAGTGAGATCATTAATAATCATAAACTGATTAAAATAAAAGCTGGAAACATGATCGGTTCATTTCAGCACATCAGCGTTCACAGCTTCATTTGAACTGAATTGGGATTAATGATTTTTCACCCGTTAGTTTGTTTTAAAGAAAAATAAAAACTTTAGTGGAGTCACAACCTGTTAGGAACAGAGAGGTCTCGAGGTGATTGGATGAACCTCCTCTCTGTTGCGACGGTTAGTTTAACACAGCAAAGACAGGRAACTCAAACGTAAAAGAAGCCCTTCCAGGTTTTGTTTTTAATGAAACTCCACAGTTTAGATCAAGGTGGTGTTTTACATTTTTACTCGACACAAACCTGTGTGTTATTACTGCAGACTGTCATACCTCAGATCTGATCAGATATTAATGTCTCCTTTTCTACACTTAATTRCAGTTTAAAACAGGTGCACTATTACACCTCTAATATTTCATCAGAATCATGCAAAATGCTTTAATCTTTTTTTAATTAGTTTTGTTTGACTTGTCCTGTCTTGTTAAATAGGCTTTTGAACTTTATTTTGAAAAGTCGCTTAAATAAGCTGAAAAGCATCAAGTTATCAAATCATTGCTTTTAATTACTTGAACGATTAAAATACTTTTACCAGAGGTAGTTTGTGTGAAGATAAAACAACGCAGTTCAGCTGCCAGGAGTTAATATAGTTCCTTTGATCTCACAGAGAACAACAGTCACAAAAAAGTGTTGTCTTTTTTGAACCTAGCAGAATATATATGATGAAATGTTGCCTGGTGGACGGATTTACTTTATCCTAAATTATTACCTTTTAAAAAATAATGGAGGCTGAAAACGTTGCATCTGACTGCTGAGAGCATTACTGCTTACACTTAAGACTGGACTAATTATGGTTGTCACCTCGGGTCAGTATCAAGATATCCTTGCCGGTGACAAGAACACGTTCATATTTGATGAGATATGAAACAAATGTGGTAGTATTTAAATATATATGTGAAAGAGTTCAGTTAATGCAGGCCAGAAGTTTTAAGGGATGGTAGAGATCCCCCAGCGATAGCTCCCAGGGTCTTGTAGAAAATATTTTTAATCTTTACTCCAAATATGACTGCTACTATAAATTTGAGTCAGGAAATGTTTTCAGTACGTAACCAAAGAGATTATTTCCTTTCACACTCCTATTTCTCTTTCTAGTGCTGAAATTTTTTCGAATTAGTTGGTGTCACTACAGCAACCCAAAAACTGTCTACACATGTCATAACAATAGAGTTGATTTACAAAAGCTAGAAAATAAATGGGAAAGAAAGACACAGAGAACGAGTGCACCCAGAGAAAAACAGCTAAATGTTAAACTGATCTGTTTTTTGTTATCCACTTATTTTCAGACCCACAAAATGAGCAGGGGAGATTAAATTTAACTAAAGCTGAAGTTAACTCTGCTGGCTCAACACATCACAGCTGCACCTAATTAAATAATTAAGCAGTTTATCACTGGTCTTCTTCTGTCTGAGTCTTCTGTTCCCCACACAACCCTGCTGCAAATACATTTCATTATAGCTATGTCATTTAAAGGGAAATTAGAAAACAAATAAAGGATTCAGTCATCTGGTTTCAGGTCCTGGTTTGTGTTTGTATCTGACTCTGACCTTTGACCTCCCTGTGGWGGGAGGAACAGCAGATAGGTGCTCATAAGACATGGTGGTCACCAAAATGTTCTAATTTCTGCCTTTATGTATCATTTATAACAACATGTTTAACTTTGTGGATTCATTTTGAATGTATACCTCAAATAATCAGAGGTGAAGTTTTAATTTAATGCCATTGCATCCTTATAAACAAAATAAGCATATCAGCAAGCAGAAGAGAAAATGATACTTTACCTYTAATTAGTGGTAACTTAATTACCACTTAATTAGCAGGGAATAAAAAAAACATGKATTTAGAGGTAAGAACAGGAGAACACAAAGTAAAGCTTAACAAGCACCAACCTTGTTGGTCCCAAAAGCCGGGTCAGGGTAGGAGAGCTGTCCCAGCYTGGTGTGGTCTGAGGCGGACAGAGGCTGAGGAGGAGGTGGGTAAACTGTTACATCCATGACTGGAAACACATCCACGTCCCCGTCTCTGCGCGTCTTTTTCTTTAAATTAGGAGCAACTAAATAAAGTTAAAAAGATGTTTAGCCTCTCGGAAACAACACTTGGAAACAACCTGAGTCCATTTAAATATTTTTTCTTTAGGTTTTGTGCGGGTTGGTTATTAAAATAAAWCTATACCCTGCTATAAAAGTCTTTGAAGTTTTGGGGGTAGACGCACTTCTCTACACGCCGGCTTCCATGCTCCGGACGGCTGCACCGAGGACCAAAGTTCCCGTTAAACGCGCTATTGTCGTAAAAGCAAACGTCAAAATTAAATGGGGCATCTAGAAAAAAAAAGGCAGTTTTCCCTCCTTTTGTCCGTGTCCTTGTCCTGCAGCGGTGCCTGGTTGGGACGTGGAACGTCGCTGAACCTGACCCTGGTTGAGATTCTGTGATCGCCGTACCTCTGCTGCTGCTGCCGCGCGGACCGCTCATACAAAGAGCCGAAAACACAAGCTAGCAGGAGTTAGCTACATCAAACCGGAAGTACGCTTTAGCACAAAATAAAAGCCCGAGTTCTGCCAAAGGCTAAACAAAGGGTTTTAAGATCATAAAACAAAAGAGAGACCCACTAATTCTACCTCAAATATTACACTAAATACAATTAATTTTTGTAGTATCAACTAGTGTTAGGACTCACTATTACCGGTGACTTTATTTTGGTAGGACTGCATTAAGGGTCTGTGCTGAATAGAAACATGCGCTCCATTTAGAGGAGTGTTACAAAACAAATCAAGCCAGTTTTTTTGCAGGCTTAATTATTGTGTTTAAAAAATCGATACTTAATTGTTTTTGATTTTTATTTTTAGCTTAGAGCTATCTTGAACAATTATTTGTTTAAACATTAATGTATAAACAGTCTTGTCATTAAATTTGGCTCCTGAGCCAAACCTTGTGATCCTTTCTTAATCAGTAATCCTTGGAGATGTCTATAATGTGCCAAAGTTTTCTTTTTTTTTCCCACACTTGTTAACCACACAATGGGCCCAATAAGTAGTCATTATCAAATACAAAAAGTAAACTAAGATGTTTGGGAAAAGCAAGTAAAGTGCAAAGGAGTGTCAGCTATTACCAAACCAAATCTGAGATTAATTTCTATCAAAAAGACTGAGGTATAGTAATGTCTGTGTGATAAGGGCTGTAGCCCGTGGCAGCCATCTTAAATCAGGATGACTCTAAAAATTTATGAGTCGTAAATGAACATGAAGGGGTTACTTTCTGTGATTTAAAAAAACATGTATAACAGTTCATGAGATATTATGCTAAAAGACACACAGGTGCAAACATAATAAAAAAGGATTATGACAATTAAACCAGTGAATGATCTTTGAGAGAGATTACATTGGAAATGAAAGAGACAAACAACAATTCATCACAAACAGATGCATTTTTGTTGAAATGGTTTTCCAGAGGGAGTTTTATTGGTGTTATCTGCAAATAAATCCATGTTTGATGATGCACAAAAAACAAAGACAGCCTCTGCAACTAAATGTACACACGCACACAGTTCACAGACTCACAGTTTTACAGCAGACAGATGGCCACGCATGCATATGAGGAAWAAAATTTAGCTCATACTCTTAAAATACTGGCAAATTCCTACATCATTAAACCTTCATGGTAACACTTGAACAGACCTAAGCCACACATCTGAAACACAACCCTGCAACCACTGCATGTGAACGCTGCATGTTTGTGCACACACAACTTAGTGTCATAAACTGCATTTTTCTGCTTTACCACATGCACACACACATACACACACTCACACAAAAAGCCTACATGTACTTAGTGAACATACAATGTGCGTCACCCTTCCCCCCTACATACACATGCATGTATATGCACCCCTCCCCTTTGAAAAAAGGCATAATTCACTTCCACATTCTCCTCCCCCACACAGTTCCTCTCTATAAAACTCTACACACACACACACACACACACACACACACACACACACACACACACACACACACACACACACA